ACACCCAAGACTCTCAACGCCTAAAGCAGTGAATCATTCTCCTAAATATTAGATTTTCTACAGCCCAGTAAGCAGTTCTCAGCTAAGAAAACGCCAGCCCAGGCAATGCTCGTGAGCTCAGATTTCTGAACTGGATCAAATCTTGCAGATGCTGCTCAATTGTCACTGAATTTGGCTTTATATGCCTCAAAGATACGGACGTGTAAGCTGTATTTTTTTTTGACAAAATTTACTTTTTATGAGTAGTAGCCGTATACGTAATTAAATGGATAAATACATAGCTGGTATTGTGATACAGATAATGTCAAATGTTACCTAATGAAAGCAGGGAGGATGTGCACTTCTAATACAAGTCTGCTCCAGCTGTAAAGTGCTAACACAGAGACCCTGACACAGCAGTTCCAATTTCTCTTCTTAAATTGTGTCCCCCACCCCTGTGCCCCGCCCCTCCTTGTGCCAAAAAGAGACAAAAGCCTGACTCTGTAGCAATCTACAGGTTGCGTATAATCTCCCAAGTCCCGCCCCTGGCTTCATCATTTGCCCTCCCCCAAACCAGCCTTCAGCAGCAACCAGATGGATCTGAAATCTCTCATCAGATCCTGCCACTCCCTGATGGAATCCTGTGCTGTCGATCCTGTCTCTTCTCTCCAACGTGACCTCTGCCCCTTTCTGCCTGCTCACACCTTCGGGCCACCCAGGCCATGCCTCACCCTTTGACTCGTCCAGTTCCCCCACATCCAGGCCTCTGCACAGCAAGCAGTGCCCTCTCTTTGGAAATCCATTTGCCTCCCTCATTACTTGGGCACCTCGTTCTCCTCCTTCTGATTGGGCTAAATGTCGCCATCCCAGGGTCGCATCTGCATTTGCAGTGGCCTCTGTATCAAGTTTCCCTAGTTTACTGTCTGATCCCCCTGCCCCCCCGCCGCCCTCACTAGGATGTCCAAGCAGGGAGTGGGTGCCTGGAGACAGGAAGTGTTCATACATGTTTTCACCAAATGAAGGACCGCTCCCTTCCAGCTCGTACTCCACCCTGCGAGACCAGGTCGAGCAGAGGAGGCCGTGCCCTCCTGGGAACACAACCCGACTTTTCTGATCAACCCCAAGCAGAGGTAAGATCTCGGGTGCTGCGTTCCTCAGACTTCAACATGTCTAAGAATTATCTTGAGAGCTTCTTAAGACACAAGTTCCTGGCTATCACCCCGCAGAGTTAGATTCTGTAGATCCGGGCTGCGACCTCAGACTGCACTTTTAATAATCCCCAAGGGAGCTGATGCATCTTCCTGGGACCACTTTGAGCATCACTAACTGAGTGCAAATCTTTTCCCACTGCCTTCTCCTGCCACCTCCATTAGCTCACACCCGGTTACCAGCACGGTCCTGTTTACAATAGCATGATCACTTATCAAAAATATCGGGTTCCCTCCATATTCAGAAACAGAGCTCCCAGAGTTATGAACCCCTGAAAACTCAGGACACAGGCAATGCTGAGGGCTTCAGGGAAATAAACACATTTTGTCCAAGAGCTAATGACACTCAGAAACGTGTCCACAAAAAGCCTCCACATGTTTTCCCACAGTTCTCTCCCCACAGAAGCTCTCCTGGGAAGAGCCGCTCCAGGGCACAGGGCAGAGTGTTATACTCATTTCCGGAGGGAGCAGAGGTTCTCCACTGAGGACAGAGCCTGGAAACGACTTCCACAGAACTCACTGGTCTTTTCCCTGGCGACTTTCCTAAGCCATCTGGTCCTGCAAGAGCCTGGCTTCTGCCTTGCAGCTGACTTTTCCCCACTCGTGTGAGAGGGGAGGGACAGCTCATCAACGCAGCCTTGGCCCGGGTGGGGAAAAGAAGATGGACTTCGGGATCGGTGGGACCAGCGGGCACGAAGTCTGATTCTGGCTCCTGCTGCATCGCCCCCATCCCGACCACCACCCACCCTGCTGTGTACATGCCCAGGACAGCAGCCTGAACGGAGTTACAGCCAGGGTCCAAGAAGGGCTTGCATCCAGAAGACACCTGCTCTTTCCAAAGGGCTGTTACCACTTCTCCTAAAACTTTCAAAGGACTCTACGTTTTTAAAACAGCTTTACTGAGATAGAATCCCCATACCAGCCAATTCACCCGTTTACACTGTACAGCTCAATGGCTTGTAGTCTAGTCACAGAGTTGAGCCACCATCCCCACAGTCTAACTGCAGAACATCACCCAAGGAAACCCTGCATCCATCAGCACCCTCCCGGCTTCGTCCCGTCCCTGCTTCTCCCAGCCCTCAGCAACCACGAATCTGCTTTCTGTCTCTATACACGCGTCTATTCTGGAGGTTTCACATAAAAGGAGTCATACAATATGTAGTCTTTTGTGTCTGGCTTCTTTCACTTTGCGTAGCGTTTGAGGTCCACCCACTGTAGCATCTACTAGCCCCTCATTCCTTTTTATGACCTTGAGTGGCTGTGGTACCCTATTGTATGTTTCCTGGATATCGGCAAAATGTCAGACACCAAGTAAATAAACTGCTCCTGGAAAACTCACATCTAGGACCTCTTTGGAGTTTGTAGTATTTAAAGGACCCTTTAAAAAAAATTTTTTTTGTCAGTAACTGTGGATTCTCATGCACTTATAAGAAAGGTACAGAAAGATTCTCAGACCCTCTACCCAGTGACCACCCCCCTCCAGAGGTAACGTCTTGCCTAACTTGAGTACAACTCCCCAACCGGGAAGTCAGCCCTGACATCATCCAAGACCCCAAGCTTTTAAAAGGCCAGCAGTCGGTGTTTCTGATCAATTCGCCAGGGGCCCTTCGTGTTTAACATAGAGACGCTAGAAAAGTCATCTGGAATTGAGGCGGCTGAGCAGGAACCACGTTCCAGGTCTGCTGGGGGCATAAGCAGGTGGAGCAGGAGGAATATGGGGGATCAGCCCTGCTGGGTCCCCCCTCGGATCCTCCCCTTGTGTCTCCAAAGCCTCACACACAGACCCACGTAGGGGCAGGTGTAGACCCTCCTCTCAGTCAACACACACGCCCTGGGGCACCCACCCTATCAGAACTGGCCACCCAGCCTCCCCCTCTGGAATCAGCGCTGCCCCCTTCTCTGCCCTGCACTTAACTGTGTGTGCGTTCGCCTCTCCCTTTGTCATCTTAGATCAACTCATGGACTTGAATTAAAAGCCAACCATCAGGGAGTTGACAACACAAACCACCGCTGGCTTATCTATGGAGCTCCCGGGCTGGCGTCCACTCAGCAAAACGCTGGGTGACCTAATCAACCGGGAATAGCTTTTGTGTGGTGGAGAGATAAGAGCCTTCGGGAGACCGGCCTGCCAGTTAGGATAACGTGGCCTTGCTCTGAAAAAAGGCAGAAAGGGAAGAGAAAGCACCTGTGCCTAGGAATGTAAGAGGTACCCACAGGAGAGGATGTGGAGGAGAGACGGGGGTCGGATGCCTGAGTTCCTGGCCAGTTCTGCCACCGCCTCATCACGTGACTGTGGGCAAGATATTCAACGTCCGCGGGCTTCAGATTCCTCATCTGGAAAAGGGGGTGGATACTAGCCCTTAGCCTACAGGGCTCCAGAGAGATGCAAATGAGTTAGGATGGGAACTAATGGGTGAAAATGAATGAGGGTGGATGGGAACTGTTCAGGAGGGTGCCTGCTACGGAGAAGTTCTCAATGAGACCAGCAGGAAGACAAAGTGGCACAGACAAAACTCCCACACAGATCCCCTTGTGAAGTATTAAGCTGCCTCTAAAGCATGTGCTGCCGGGGCTAACGACTTGCCTCATGCAAACATACTTCTTCTCCCACAATGCAAGGAAGCATTTTCCCTAAGAGCTGGAATTACCTAGAAAATGTTCGTGCCTGATTTTTCTCATCTACAAGCAGGTGACAATAACCTAACCACAGAGCATTTTTGTGACTGTTCCCTATAAGGCCACAAGGCACCAAATAGGACCAGTTATCAATCACATTCTCCTCTCTGTGTCCCCCCAGGCACGAAGCCGGAGGACTGGCATACAGAAGGCGCTTAATAAGCACAAGAGGGACAAGGCATCACATGTGCCTCTGGCAAGCAAGGCCCCAGCCAGCTCCAGTACCGGACCACCCTTCCTCCCAGGGGCCCAGCCATGGGACTCTGTGAGTGAACACGCCCCTCTGAGGACCCCTCGCCTTCCATCAGAGCCCTCGGAGCACACAGCTCTGTGTGGCGATGTTCACA